AACAACAGCAAAGGCAACGACAGCAACAAAGGCAACAACAGCAAAGGCAGTGACAGCAACAAAGGCAACAACAGCAAAGGCAACGACAGCAACAAAGGCAACAACAGCGAAGGCAACGACAGCAACAAAGGCAACAACAGCAAAGGCAACGACAGCAACAAAGGCAACAACAGCAAAGGCAACGACAGCAACAAAGGCAACAACAGCAAAGGCAACGACAGCAACAAAGGCAACAACAGCAAAGGCAACGACAGCAACAAAGGCAACAACAGCAAAGGCAACGACAGCAACAAAGGCAACAACAGCAAAGGCAACGACAGCAACAAAGGCAACAACAGCAAAGGCAACGACAGCAACAAAGGCAACAACAGCAAAGGCAACGACAGCAACAAAGGCAACAACAGCAAAGGCAACGACAGCAACAAAGGCAACAACAGCAAAGGCAACGACAGCAACAAAGGCAACAACAGCAAAGGCAACGACAACAACAAAGGCAACAACAGCAAAGGCAACGACAGCAACAAAGGCAACAACAACAAAGGCAACGACAGCAACAAAGGCAACAACAGCAAAGGCAACGACAGCAACAAAGGCAACAACAGCAAAGGCAACAACAGCAACAAAGGCAACAACAGCAAAGGCAACAACAGCAACAAAGGCAGCAACAGCAAAGGCAACAAAGGCAACAACAGCAAAGGCAACAACAGCAACAAAGGCAACAACAGCAAAGGCAGCAACAGCAACAAAGGCAACAACAGCAAAGGCAGCAACAGCAACAAAGGCAACAACAGCAAAGGCAGCGACAGCAACAAAGGCAACAACAGCAAAGGCAGCAACAGCAACAAAGGCAACAACAGCAAAGGCAGCAACAGCAACAAAGGCAACAACAGCAAAGGCAGCAACAGCAACAAAGGCAACAACAGCAAAGGCAGCAACAGCAACAAAGGCAGCAACAGCAAAGGCAGCAACAGCAACAAAGGCAGCAACAGCAAAGGCAGCAACAGCAACAAAGGCAGCAACAGCAAAGGCAGCAACAGCAACAAAGGCAGCAACAGCAAAGGCAGCAACAGCAACAAAGGCAGCAACAGCAAAGGCAGCAACAGCAACAAAGGCAGCAACAGCAAAGGCAACAACAGCAACAAAGGCAGCAACAGCAAAGGCAACAACAGCAACAAAGGCAGCAACAGCAAAGGCAACAACAGCAACAAAGGCAGCAACAGCAAAGGCAACAACAGCAACAAAGGCAGCAACAGCAAAGGCAACAACAGCAACAAAGGCAGCAACAGCAAAGGCAACAACAGCAACAAAGGCAGAAACAGCAAAGGCAACAACAGCAACAAAGGCAGCAACAGCAAAGGCAACAACAGCAACAAAGGCAGCAACAGCAAAGGCAACAACAGCAACAAAGGCAGCAACAGCAAAGGCAACAACAGCAACAAAGGCAGCAACAGCAAAGGCAAGAACAGCAACAAAGGCAGCAACAGCAACAACAACAACAACAACAACAACAACAACAACAACAACAACAACAACAACAACAACAACAACAACAACAACAACAACAACAACAACAACAACAACAACAACAAAGGCAACAACAACAACAACAACAACAACAACAAAGGCAACAACAACAACAACAACAACAACAACAACAACAACAAAAACAACAACAACAACAACAAAGGCAACAACAACAACAACAACAACAACAACAACAACAACAACAACAACAACAACAACAACAACAACAACAACAACAACAACAACAACAGCAAAGGCAAGAACCAACGACAAGCAAGTAAGTTTTCTAACCCATCTCTCCTTGGTCGCTACCCGTCATCAAGTTCCTCATTCAATCGACCTTTCTCATCTAGTCCCTCTCAACCGGACAAGCCCCAATCGAGGAATTTCAATTTTATTTGTCATTTTTGTCACCAATGGGGGCATCCATGGTTTAAGTGTCCTCGTAAACCTCCCAATTGGACCCCTCCTCCTCACCTTCTTACTTCTAAGGGTCGAGCTGCCCTATCTTATGCAATGAGCTCTCAAAATGAGACTCATCTATTCCCTTTACCCCAACCTCAATCAACCCAATTCTACCCAAGTCAACCTTATCCTTTTCCCTGTTACCCCATGCAACCAATGCCTATGTTCTACCCTTCTTCACCACAAGGCTTTACGCCTTTATTACCTCAAGCTTCCCATCCTTCTCCCCCCAACTCAACACCCTCTTCTTCCTCCCAAAGCACCCCACAGGGCATAAGCTTTGCCATGACTTCATCCGCGCCCACATCGTCGTTCGATCCCGACTTTTGGTACCTCGATAGTGGGTGCGACCAACACATGACTCCCAACTCTTCCCTCTTACACTCTCTCACCACCACAGGAGTTAAGTGAATCACAGTCGCCAACAAGGAGTCAACTCCCACCGCGGGAGAAGGAACTCTCACCTTTTTCAACCCCACCGGCAAGCCGGTTTCCATCTCAGGAGTTCTTCTCGTTCCCAACCTTGGAGCCAACCTATTGTTGGTTGGACAACTCGAGGAGAAAGACTGCACCGTTTCTTTCACAAGTGGTTCCGTGCAGATACGCTACCAGGGACTCGTCATTGCACGTGGCGAGCGAGTTGGTCGCCTCTACCGCCTCAAGCTCGACGTGAACCCAGAGTACCGTCAACTCCACGGCTACACCGCCACCGCATCAACTACTATCAAGCCTCACCCAGGTACGACTACCACACCCTACATTTGGCATTGTCGCTTGTGTCACCCTGGAGCATCGACCACAAAGTCCTTCACCGCACATGCAAGTCTTGAAGGTCTTCACATCACACCGAGTTCCGAGTCTTCCTCTTCACTTTCTCCATGCCCCTCATGCGTCGAAACCAAGCATGCACATCATCCTCATCCCCTTGTCAATGTTCAAGTCTCAAGTCCTCTTGACCTTGTTCACAGTGACATCATTGGTCCTGCTCGCACACTCAGTCGCACAGGCAAGCGATTCATCATGACCCTCATTGATCATAAGACACGCTTTGCATAGGTATTCCTTCTTGAGTCCAAAGACCTCGTCCTCGAAGCATTCAAAGTATGGCATGAGCACATCAGGAACACAACCGGCCTTCAAGTCAAGACCCTGCACTTTGACAGGGGGGGAGAATACATGAGTAAGTCATTTTGCCATCATTTCTCATCCATTGGCATTGCACAAGAGCTTTCATGCCCCTACACCTCTCAGCAGAACGGCATTGCCGAAAGGTTCAACCGCACCTTGTAGGAGATTGCAAGATCTCTTCTCTTGCACATGAAGCTGGACGATGCATGGTGGGGAGAAGTTGTGAACCGCGCCGTCCACCTTAAGAATCCTCGCCCAACCACCGCTCTTCCCTCAGGTATCACCCCATTTGAAGCATGGCATGGGAAGAAGCCCGATGTTTCCATGTTGCGTGTGTTTGGGTGCATGGCGCAATATCGCATTCCCGATGATAAGAGAGGAAAGTTTGAAAGCAAGACACGCTGGGCCGTGCACATTGGCGTGAGTAAGGAGAGCAAGGGCTGGATTCTCTGGGACCCCCTCCTTACCAAGGAGATTGTGAGCAAGGACGTGATCTTCCATGAAGACATGTCCCTCGCTCAATGGAAGTTAAATTATCTCCCTCCTTCTCCCTCTCTCGAAGACTCTCTCCCCACTCCACCAGGACTCACCACAACGCCCCTCCAAGTGCACCTGCTCGAGATACCACAGCATCCCCACCTGTACCTGAGAACAACACACCTCCTCATGAGCAGCAGCAGAGTCAACCTGAGCCAAACCAGACATCACTCCCGCTCTTCGCCGACGCTCCGCCTTTGCTCCAACCCTCGATGGAGCAACCCTCAACACGAGAGTTCACACCCGAGCAGCAGCTTGCCGCAGAGAAGCCGCCTTCAACCGCTCCGTCTACATCTTTACCTCCAGTCAACACTTCAACCGTCGTCCCTATCGCAGCAGACGAGCCTCTCCAACCCGTTCAACCACCAAATGATGTTCTTGAGACAACCACTCTTTCAGCACCTCCAAACCATCCCTAACGGTAACACGAGTCACGAAGGTATCACCGAGCATTCACAGCGTCCCAAGCAAGCACGCAAGCCAGTGCAGCGCTTGAACCTCGCAGTCAGTGCATGCTTCCCAGTCACAGCCAAGTGCACCGATCCTCACTGCATGGACTGCAAGGTAGTCGCCATGTGTCACGCCATCAGTTGCCTCCCACCTGAGCCATCCACTCGCAAGCAAGCACTGGTAAGCGCTGAGAGAGCAGAGTGGGTAAAGTCAGATAGAGATGAGATTAACAGCCTCCTTGCACAAGGTACATGGGTCTTGGCACCACTCCCTCCTGGTAAGAGAGCACTGAAGGTTAAGTGGACATACCGAGTGAAAGTAAAGGGATATGGTACACTGGACCGATTTAAGGCACGCCTGGTAGCCAAAGGTTTCTCACAAATGCCAGGCACGGACTACACAGAGACCTTCTCTGCTGTAGTCAAGTACACCAGAGTCAGGTGCCTCCTGGTAATGTCCACAGTGAAGGATCTCCACATCCACCAAATGGATGTGAAGAACGCCTTTCTCTATGGTAAGCTTGACGAAGAGATCTACATGGTACAGCCTTGGTACAGCCTGAAGGTTACTCCAATGGTACCACCAAGGTCTGCAAGCTGCTGAAGTCCCTCTATGGACTAAAGCAAGCACCACGAGTCTGGTTCCACACCCTTGAGGTATCACTCTTCACCCAAGGTTTCACCAAGTCACTGTTCGATGCCGCACTGTACATCCTACGCACGAGTGAGGGGGAGTCCTTGTGGCTCTTAGTCTACGTGGATGATATCCTCCGTGTGTCAGCATCTTTGAGTCTCCTCACACGCATCAAAGGTATGCTCACCCAAGACTTCATTATGACTGACATGGGTGAGCCCTCACACTACCTTGGTATGAACATTGTGAGGGACTGCACCACCAAGTCACTTTTCATCTCACAGCAAAGGTCCACTAAGAAGGTCCTTTCCATGTTTGGTCTCCTTGACTGCAACCCAGTTGAGACCCCACTCCCCTCAGACTTCATGCTAAGCTCGCACGAGCAAAGCATTGACCCTTCCACTGTTGAGTCAGAGGTCACAGAGCTTGAGGGTGAGGTCGAGAGCCTTGAGCCTCCTGAGGACATTGGTCATGACACCTATGCACCACAGTCCACATGCCACATCACATCCCTTGAGCTCTCACTCTACCAGAGCCAAGTGGGCAGCCTTATGTACGCCTCCATTTGCACCCGTCCCGATCTCGCCCATACTGTTGCCATGCTCTCTCAATGGATGACATCACCCACTCGCATGCATCAGCGTGTGGCACTTCGTGCCTTGCGCTATCTCAAATCATCCTCTTCCTTTGGTCTCCTCTTTCAAGGGTTTGAGGGTGCAAGCATGCTGTACGGCTTCACGGATGCAAATTGGGCTGGGGATATCCCTACCCGCAGGTCCACAGGATGATACATCTTCATGCTTGGAGGGGCAGCCATCTCTTGGCAGTCAAAGACGCAGAGTTGTGTGGCTTTATCAACCACGGAGGCAGAGTATATGGCTGCGACCCAAAGAGCCCGAAAAGTAGTGCGGATAAGAGGTCTATTGAAGGAGCTTGACCTCCCACAAGAGAGCCCCACTCCAATCTTCATCGACAACACGTCGACGATCGCTCTCACCAAGAACCCAGTCTTCCATGGGAGGACCAAGCACATCGCGACGCGGTATCACTACGTTTGAGAGCTTGTGGAGCAGAAAAACGTTGAGCCCCTGCTTTGCCGCACGAGTGAGCAAGCGGCGTCGTTGCACGCGACATCTTCATCAACAACCGAGTTCAAGCCGGGTTAGTCCCAGCAGTCGGATTTGAGGGTACGGGTTTGCAGTGAGGGGGAGTGTTGTGAATAGCACACGCATCACGTGCTACCCACTTTGGCACTCCAACCCCTTCCCCTCGAAACACTCTTGTAACTTTCCTTCCTACCTTCCCAAAGTTACCCAACCCCTCCAAACTTATTCAAATTACCCAACCACCAAGACTTTCCTTTTCCAACTCATATTTTCCAAGCCAAGCCCACCGACTCCTCCTTAACTATCTTCAACCACCATAGCCCTTCCTAATCCAACTTAACCAAATTCATAACAGCTTCTCCTATTCACCTCCAAGTCCCACCATAAGGCACATGACTCCCTCATGGTTTTCCATGTGCTTTCTTTCCTTACTCACCAAATATTATCCAAGTCTTCTACCTCCTCCAATATTCCTCCCTCCATGTGCCTTCAAGCACATGCATCCAATTCCTAGTCATCAACCTCCACATGCTTCACATTTATTTCTTCCTCCCTTCCTTTCCCAAGTCACCAAAATTGCAAACTCATCTCCTAAGGATTTATGATTACCACCTCACCTCCCAAAGCTATCCTATCTCCTCCATCCATCTCTTCACAAGTCACCCAAGTTCTCATCCAACACCACAAGACCTACAACTCCAACTCATCTGGTGCTCAACTACCATCACATGCTCTACTACTATTCAACTCCAACAAGCAACTCTACAATTTTTCAAGAAGGTTCTTCAATGACAACAGTGCCTCTCAAGCTTCTTCATCAAGCTCCTCTTCATGCTCCTTCCCAAGCTTCTCCTTCAAGCTCCTCTTCTACTACAAAGGCTCCTCACTAGCAATCAAGTTCAATGTCTCCAAAGTTGATCCTTTCATGTTACTCTCTTCCAAGACTACTATTGATGGTTACTCTTCCTATGCATGCTTATGTATCCCTCATGGATCCATAAGGATTGTACTATACCTCTTTCAATATAATTTTATGCTCACAAAGTCTCTCTTATTAGTCCACAAAGCTAAGCATTAAGTGAAGAATAGTCACCTCGTACTCCACTTGGGTATAAGGTTCATTATTACCTACAAGCTTGAGGAAGGCTCATCACCCAATATCAAGCTTGATGTTCTTTTTCAAATAAAGCTCCCAAGGCCAAGCCATTCTTTCAAGTCACCTCTACAACTATCCTTAGTAAGACTCACTTAAGATAAAGATTATAACATCTCTTATTCTCTCAACAAGCTCACAGTCTCCTTCTCTTTTGAGTTCTTATCTCATGAAGCATTCCACCCTACACAAGTTTCTAAGCATCATCTTATCTTCAATCAAACTCATCCTCATATGATACAGTTCCATTGTTCACTCTTGTCTTATTCTAGTGTGCAATCATACACTTTTGTCCTTATCTCAATTCTTAACAATTTGAACTGGTTGGACCCCCCCTGCTTGGATGGACTCAACTCGGACAAGCATAGGCAAAAACAGTTCGTGCGTGCAGCGCAGGCACGGTTAGGTCGAATGTGCAGCGCCGTTATATGCGGAGATGACATCCGCGGAAGATGAAGTGGGCGGTTCGCTTCCGCGCCGTAGCACGCGGAGGTCCACGCGACTGGCGCAGGTTAGCGGGGCGGAAGCACGCGGAAAGAACAGTGCGGTGGCTGACGGAAGGAATAACGCGGAAGCCGGCGGAACGAGCTGCACGGGTACGAAGGACGGTGACGTTGCTAGAAAGGTTGTCGCGGCTAGTGACAGTGAAAGCAGCGGTAGCAGTCGCAGCAGCGGCAGCAGTGGTAGCAGCAGCTCTCGAAGCAGCTCGGAAGGTTCCATTTGCAGCAGCAAGGGGTTTGTCGTGAGCGACGAGGACGAATTGTCAGATGACGATAGCATGACGTCAGTAGAGGACGAACGGTCCCCGCGGGCAGGGAGGAAAAGTTCTGGACCGGTCAGGAGAAATGTTAGCGAGGTGAAATGGGGTAGTAAGGGAAGAGAGATGGTGATTAGGGTTAGGGGACGTGAAAGGGGGAAAGGAGGGGGTAAGGGACGCGGAGGGGGGGAACGGAGGGGAGGGGGAGGGGAAAGAAAGAAGAGAGGGGAAAGCGCGGGGGAAAGGGCGCAGGGCGGAGGGATGAAGGATCTGAGCGCAGGGGGGACGAAGGGAGATGGGCGCACGCTTGTTGCGATGCGCGAGGGCATGGTTGGGGGTATGGGTGGAAGCGTGGGTGGAGTAGGAGAGGGAGTGACGATGGGAATAGCTGAGGGGCTAGGGGGGAGGCGCGCGGAGGGGAGAGGGGAGAGGATAGCGGAGGGGAGTGCGGAGGGGAGAGCGGAGGGGAGAGTGGAGGGGAGAGTGGAGGGGAGAGTGGAGAGGAGAGTGGAGGGGAGAGTGGAGGGGAGAGTGGAGGGGAGAGTGGAGGGGAGAGTGGAGGGGACAGGGGCGAGGCGAGCGGAGGGAGAGGAATGCAGGCGGGCGAAGGGAGGTGAAAGGAGCTTGAGAGATATGGAAGGGAGGAAAGAGAGGGCTGCAGCCGGTACGATTAGAGTCAGAGCAGTAGGGAGAGGAGGGGGGCGAGGAGAGGGTGATGCTGAGATGGTGACGGGAGCAGCAATGGCAGCAGCAGAACATGCAGCAGCAACAGAAGAAGGGGCAACTGCAGCAAAGGGGCGGGTTCATATGCATGAAAATGAAGCAGAGGAGTCAAGAGGGCGTGTAGATGGATGGGTTGACCCTGTAGCGGAGTATATAGGGTGGTCTATAACGGGGATGAGGAGGGGAGGGGGAGGGGATGTGGGAGGAGGGGAGGAGGAGGGAGGATGGGGCGAGGAGTGGGAGGGAGGGGAGGAGTGGGAGGAGGGGGACTGGGAGGAAGAGGAGAGGGAAGAGGATAAGGGGGAAGAAGAGGGGGAAGAGGAGAGAGAAAAAGGGGAGAAGGCAGAGGACGAGGAGAATAGGGGGAAGAAAGGACAGAAGGAGATCAGCAACAGCAAAGGGAAGCAGCAGGGAAAGGATAAGTCGAAAGATACCACAGGGAAGCCTGTGACAAGTACAGATGGCTCCGTGCGAGCTCTAACTTCCTCGAAACCCTCAGATGTACATACAGACCCATCTGAACCATCCGAACCCATGGGTGTTCCAGGAAATTACAGTGATCCCCTAGGAGGGTACGTGGATTCCATGGAAGAGGGAACGGACACAGACCCACTGGGCGGGTATATAGACCCACTGGAGCAGTACATGCTGTGGTCTGGCATGGGCCTGGCGGGCGAGGGGCGAGGGGAGGAGGGGGAAGAGACGGGGGAGGGGATGAGGGAGGAGGTGGGGGAGGATGCGGGGCAGGCGGAGGTAGGGGGGGATGTAGGGGGAGCGGTGGGGGGAGGTGTAGGGGGAGAGGATGGAGGAAAGGTAGGTGAAAAAGAGGGGGATGAGATGGGGGAAGGGGAGGTGGGGGAAGAGGGGATGGAGAGAAATGAGGGGAGAACAGGGGGTGAGAGAGAGGAGGATAGGAGAGAGGAGGATAGGAGAGAGGAGGAGGGGAAGAAAGAGGAGGGGAGAGGGGAGAAGCAAGTTAGGGAAGGGCGGGATATGAGGGAGGTTGGAGGGGAGAGGGAGGGGGCTGGAGGGAGGGGGGAGGAGGAACAGGAGAGAGAGGGGGGTGGTGTTGGGGGGCATCGTGGTGGTGGCAGGGAGGAAAACGCGAATAAAGAGGGTAATGAGACGAATGAAAAGAGTGGGAAGCATGAGAATAGCAATGCTAATGAGAAAAACGAGGGGAATGAGAATAACGAGAAGAACGAGAATTGTGAGAAGAACGAGAGTAATGAGAGTAATAAGGAGAGCGAGAATAAGGAGGCGAGAGAGGATGAGGATGTGGTGGAAGTGACTGAAACGGAAACGGGAGAGGGTGGTAAGGGAGGAGTGGACGCGGGTGATGGGAGAAGGGGGAGGGAAGGTGAGGTTACGAGGCGTGACTGTGAGGAGAGTGACGTTGAAGAGTGTGAGGCTGGTGATGGGAAGGATGGTGAACGGAGGGATGTTGAGGAGAGAAAAGAAAGGCGAGGAGCTGGTGGAGGGAGAAGAGGGCGAGTTGGAGAGAAGGGCAGGAGCGGACGGGAGAAGGGGAACGTGAAGAAGGTCGAAAGGGAGGGAAAGAGGAGTCGGAGAGGAACAGAGAAGGTGAGGAGGCATGAGGAGGAGGAGGGAGAGGAGGGAGGGGAGGGAGGGGAGAGGGAGGAGGAAGAAGGGGAAGAGGTGGAGGAGGTTGAAAGGGTGGAGGAAGAGGAGAAGGAGGAGGAGAAGGTGGGGGAAGTAGAGGTGAAGGGCAAAAAGAGGGGACGAAAACGGGGTAAGCACGAGGAGAGGGATGATGAGGGGGATGTAGGTGGGAAGGAGGATGAGGATGAGGAGGAAGTGGAGGAGATAAAGGTAGAATATTTACAGGACGGTGAGAGCAAGAGGAATAAGAGGAAACACAAGGAGAGGCAGGGAGGAGAAAAGGAGAAGGAGGGGAGAAAGAGGGCAAAGTACCAGAAAGAAGAGGAGAAAGAAAAGGAAGAGGATTCAGGAGAGGAGGAGGAGAGTGAGGAGGAGGATGGGGAGCAGGGCAGGGGGGGAAGGTACAAGGCGAAGGAGAAACGGTATGAGTGTGGGCAGTGTGGCATGGCGTTTACTCGGCCGGCATATGTGCGGCAACACATGGCCTCACACTCCAATCAGGTGGGCTGATCATACTCACACGCAATTGCACACACTCACGCTAGCTATCTCACCCGCACTCAAGGCGAAGGAGAAGCGGTATGAGTGTGGGCATGCGGCATGGCGTTCGCCCGGCCATCATATGTGCGGCAATACATGGCCTCTCATTCCAACCAGGTGGGCTGATTTTACTCAAACAGTCACTTCATTCACTCACTCGGGTCCTTCATCTCGCTCCCTCGCCTTCCCTCTCCTCCTTGCTGCAAATTTCTCTTTGTGTGTCCACTTGAGGAAGCACCGTCTACAGCGCCACATGAATTCTCATGCCCCTGGGTTTCGACACGTCTCAAAGCTTCATCCCTCCCTCGCCTTATCTTGCAGCAGAAGTCGTTTGTGCGCCCACTCGAGGACTGCATAAGAGCGTTTGGGAGGAAGTACCACTTGCAGCGCCACATGCAGTCGCACGCCCCCTGGGTTTTGAGACGTCTCAAAGCTTCACCTCTGCTTCACCCCCCTTCCCATCGCCACCCAACCACCTGTCTTACAGCAGAAATCCTTTGTGTGCCCGCATGAGGACTGCCGAAGGGCGTTCGGGAGGAAGTACCACCTGCAGCGCCACATGCAGTCGCATGCTCCTCACCGGGTCAGTGCCTTTCCTATGAATGAATGTATGATGCATGGCCAATGGCACACACCGAGTCAGCCCCCACGCTGAGATTCTTTCCCGGATGGCTCATGTCTTGGAGACCTGGTGCTGTGAGTCTCCTTGTTCAGTTTGACCTGCAGGACGTACCACCTGCAGGACGTACCACCTGCAGCGCCTCTCCCATCTCCCTCCCTTCAACCCTGTGTAACCCCTGCACTCCCACCAGTTCCCCTGTCCGCACCCCCAGTGCATCCAGACGTTCAGCCTGCACGCCAGCATGCAGCGGCATGTGAGGCTCTTCTTCCCCCGATTGTGCCTCCTCCCCCCGTCTGTGTCATGTCACCCCTTCCCCTGCCTGCTTCCCTCCAGTTCCCCTGTCCGCACCCGCAATGCTGTCAGACGTTCAGCCTGCACGCCAGCATGCAGCGACACGTGAGGGAGCAGCACTGGGAGGAGGAGGGCATCAGGGACCGGCTTGATCGAGTGAATAGGGAGATGAAGGGGAAGCAGGCGGAGCAGTGGGGGATTGGGGACCGGCTGGGTAGAGTGAAGAGAGAGAGTAAGGGAGGGGATGCGGAGCATAAGGTTCAGGGGAAGGAGGGGGAGGCGCAGAAGAGCGGGCAGCAGAAGGGACAGGAGAAGGCAGAGGAGAAAACAGAGGAGAAAGCGCAAAGGGCACAGGAGAAAACGCAGAAAGAACAGGACATAATACAGGAGAAAACGAAGGAGAAAACACAAGAGAAGACATGCGAGAGGGCAGCAGAAGCAACAGGAGGGAGAAGAGGAGGGGGGAAGGAGAGGTTAGGTGGGAAAGACGAGAGGAGAGGAGGGGAAGAGGATTGGAGAAGGGAGGAGGAGGAGGAGCAGAGAGGACGGGAGGAGAGGAGAGCAGGAGAGGAGGAGAGGATAGGAGGGGAGGAGGAAAGGAGAGGGGGGGAGGAGAAGAGAGGAAGGGAGGTGCAGAGGAGAGGAGGGGAGGAGGAGAGGAGAGGAGGGGAGGAGGAGAGGAGAGGAGGGGAGGAGGAGAGGAGTGGAGGGGAGGAGGAGAGGAGTGGAGGGGAGGAGGAGAGGAGAGGAGGGGAGGAGGAGAGGAGTGGAGGGGAGTTGGGGGAGGGAGGAGGTGAGGAGGAGAGAAAATTGGGCGACGAGGGAGCTGGAAAGGAGTCGTTTGTGGTTAAGAGTGGTGAGGAGCGGTGTGATACTGAAATGCGTGATGCTGAATTGTTTCATACTGCTGAAGCAGACAGGCAAGATTTTGCTGACGTGGAAGAGGATAACAGAGAGATCCTTGCAACCAATGGGAGTAGGGGGGCGGTGCAAGGGATGTACGGCCACTTGAAGCAACAGAATCGGCACCTGAAGAAACACCTGGAGGTTGATGATCATCACCTGGAGAAGCACCTGAATGAGAAGGAGCAGCCTGCTTTGGAGGTGGAAATTCAGCTGAAGCAACAGAAGGAAAACCTGAGGGCAATGAGGGAGCACCTGAGGCGGAAGGAGATTCTCCTGAAGGAGGAGGAGAAATTTCTGAGGCAGCAGCAGGAGCACCTGAGGCAACAGAGTGAGCACCTGAAACAACAGAACGAGGACCTGAGGCAACGGGAGGAGCAGCTTGCAATGCAAGAGCAGCACTTGGGGGAACACCTGAGGGGGGAGCACCTGGGGGGCCACCTGAAGGGGGACCTGAGGGGGAAGCACGTGGGGGGGAATGGGTTGCTGCTGCTGCGGGATGCTGTATGCTTGTGCTCTGCTGCTGCCACTGCTTCTGTGGGGACGACTGGAGGTGGTGTGGCAGCTGGTGATGGCGATGTGGCAGCGGCTGATGCTGATGTGGCACAGGTTGTTGGTGATGTGGCAGGTGCTCATGATGTTGTGGCAGAAGCTGTCGGTGAGGTAACTGCAACCGACGCTGTTGCAATGGCGACCGGCGGTACAAGTGGGGCCGGTGGGGGGGCTGGTGGTGTGGCTGGTGGGCGCGCAGGAGGTGGTGTGAGGATTAAGGAGGGCGTGAGGGAAGTGGAGGGGGGGATGACGCGAGGAGAAGGAGGGGGGGGCGGTCACCGGACGGTGGAGGTTGGCAAAGGAGCAATTGCATCAGAGGAGGCATCAGGGGGGGTAAGCCCGCCTGAATGAGCCCGCCTTTCCGCAAAGTCAGGGCGTATTCCATGTTCGTGTCAGAGCAACTGTTCCCAAAAACTCAGTGGGCCGGAAAATGCGCATGTCACCAACAGTGCGATGAACAGTTGCCCTGCCACGAACATGGAATATGCCCTTCCTCTACTCTCCCTTTCCCGGTTCTCTCTCCAGTCTCCCCTTCCTCCTCAGAGCAGCCCAGCAACCCAAGAACGCACTTCAGGGTGTGCCACCAGAAAGACCGCCCCTTTGCCGGCTCTCTTATTGCACGGCCCTTTTCCCACTCTCCCTTTCCCCTTCTCCCCACACCTCCCCCCCCTCTTCCCCACTCCTCAGAGCAGCCCAGCAACCTGGGGACGCACATCAGGGCATGACATGAGCAGGACCGTCCTTTTGTGAACTCACTCAGTGTACGATCCTCTCTCTATTTCCCTTTCTTCTTTATCTCTTCCCCCCTATTCCCCACTCCCTCTCCTCCTCAGAGCAGCCCAGCAACCTAAGAACGCACATCAGGGCGTGCCACCAGAAGGACCGTCCCTTCGCCTGCTCCGTCCCAGGCTGCTCCCAGCAGTTCGCATACAAAGTGAACCTTACGAGGCACATAGCTGCCATACACGAGATTACACCCGCACAGGTGAGGGCAGTGCTGACTGCGGTGTGGTGTGTGCTGAGGGTCCTTACTCAGACTGCAGCCACTCCCAGGCTGCTCCCAGCACTTCACATACAAAGTCAACCTTTTACGCCACATAGCAACCATACACGTGTTCACACCCACACAGGTGAGAGAGCAGTGCTGACTGTGGTGCATACAGAGTGAACCTCGCCAGCCATGTGCCTGCCATACACGTGCTCACACCCGCACAGGTGAGAGAGCAGTGCTGACTGTATGAGACTTACAAGGAGACCGACCTTTTGATTCTCTCAGCTTTTCAGTCCTCTCCATGTCCCTCTCCGTGTCCCTCTCCATGTCCCTCTCCGTGTCCCTCTCCATGTCCCTCTCCATGTCCCTCTCCATGTCCCTCTCCATGTCCCTCTCCGTGTCCCTCTCCATGTCCCTCTCCATGTCCCTCTCCATGTCCCTCTCCATGTCCCTCTCCATGTCCCTCTCCGTGTCCCTCTCCATGTCCCTCTCCGTGTCCCTCTCCATGTCCCTCTCCATGTCCCTCTCCATGTCCCTCTCCATGTCCCTCTCCGTGTCCCTCTCCATGTCCCTCTCCATGTCCCTCTCCATGTCCCTCTCCATGTCCCTCTCCATGTCCCTCTCCGTGTCCCTCTCCGTGTCCCTCTCCATGTCCCTCTCCATGTCCCTCTCCGTGTCCCTCTCCGTGTCCCTCTCCATGTCCCTCTCCATGTCCCTCTCCATGTCCCTCTCCATGTCCCTCTCCATGTCCCTCTCCATGTCCCTCTCCGTGTCCCTCTCCGTGTCCCTCTCCGTGTCCCTCTCCATGTCCCTCTCCGTGTCCCTCTCCATGTCCCTCTCCGTGTCCCTCTCCGTGTCCCTCTCCATGTCCCTCTCCATGTCCCTCTCCATGTCCCTCTCCATGTCCCTCTCCATGTCCCTCTCCATGTCCCTCTCCATGTCCCTCTCCGTGTCCCTCTCCGTGTCCCTCTCCGTGTCCCTCTCCGTGTCCCTCTCCATGTCCCTCTCCGTGTCCCTCTCCATGTCCCTCTCCGTGTCCCTCTCCGTGTCCCTCTCCATGTCCCTCTCCATGTCCCTCTCCATGTCCCTCTCCGTGTCCCTCTCCATGTCCCTCTCCGTGTCCCTCTCCATGTCCCTCTCCATGTCCCTCTCCATGTCCCTCTCCATGTCCCTCTCCGTGTCCCTCTCCATGTCCCTCTCCATGTCCCTCTCCATGTCCCTCTCCGTGTCCCTCTCCGTGTCCCTCTCCGTGTCCCTCTCCATGTCCCTCTCCATGTCCCTCTCCATGTCCCTCTCCATGTCCCTCTCCATGTCCCTCTCCGTGTCCCTCTCCGTGTCCCTCTCCGTGTCCCTCTCCGTGTCCCTCTCCATGTCCCTCTCCGTGTCCCTCTCCATGTCCCTCTCCGTGTCCCTCTCCGTGTCCCTCTCCATGTCCCTCTCCATGTCCCTCTCCATGTCCCTCTCCGTGTCCCTCTCCATGTCCCTCTCCGTGTCCCTCTCCATGTCCCTCTCCATGTCCCTCTCCATGTCCCTCTCCATGTCCCTCTCCGTGTCCCTCTCCATGTCCCTCTCCATGTCCCTCTCCATGTCCCTCTCCGTGTCCCTCTCCGTGTCCCTCTCCGTGTCCCTCTCCATGTCCCTCTCCATGTCCCTCTCCATGTCCCTCTCCATGTCCCTCTCCATGTCCCTCTCCGTGTCCCTCTCCGTGTCCCTCTCCGTGTCCCTCTCCATGTCCCTCTCCATGTCCCTCTCCATGTCCCTCTCCATGTCCCTCTCCATGTCCCTCTCCGTGTCCCTCTCCGTGTCCCTCTCCATGTCCCTCTCCATGTCCCTCTCCATGTCCCTCTCCATGTCCCTCTCCATGTCCCTCTCCATGTCCCTCTCCATGTCCCTCTCCGTGTCCCTCTCCGTGTCCCTCTCCATGTCCCTCTCCATGTCCCTCTCCATGTCCCTCTCCATGTCCCTCTCCATGTCCCTCTCCGTGTCCCTCTCCATGTCCCTCTCCGTGTCCCTCTCCGTGTCCCTCTCCATGTCCCTCTCCGTGTCCCTCTCCATGTCCCTCTCCGTGTCCCTCTCCATGTCCCTCTCCGTGTCCCTCTCCATGTCCCTCTCCATGTCCCTCTCCATGTCCCTCTCCATGTCCTCTCCATGTCCCTCTCCGTGTCCCTCTCCGTGTCCCTCTCCATGTCCCTCTCCATGTCCCTCTCCATGTCCCTCTCCGTGTCCCTCTCCGTGTCCCTCTCCATGTCCCTCTCCGTGTCCCTCTCCATGTCCCTCTCCATGTCCCTCTCCATGTCCCTCTCCATGTCCCTCTCCATGTCCCTCTCCATGTCCCTCTCCATGTCCCTCTCCGTGTCCCTCTCCGTGTCCCTCTCCATGTCCCTCTCCATGTCCCTCTCCATGTCCCTCTCCATGTCCCTCTCCATGTCCCTCTCCGTGTCCCTCTCCATGTCCCTCTCCATGTCCCTCTCCATGTCCCTCTCCATGTCCCTCTCCATGTCCCTCTCCATGTCCCTCTCCATGTCCCTCTCCATGTCCCTCTCCGTGTCCCTCTCCATGTCCCTCTCCATGTCCCTCTCCATGTCCCTCTCCATGTCCCTCTCCATGTCCCTCTCCGTGTCCCTCTCCATGTCCCTCTCCGTGTCCCTCTCCATGTCCCTCTCCATGTCCCTCTCCATGTCCCTCTCCATGTCCCTCTCCGTGTCCCTCTCCGTGTCCCTCTCCATGTCCCTCTCCGTGTCCCTCTCCGTGTCCCTCTCCATGTCCCTCTCCATGTCCCTCTCCGTGTCCCTCTCCATGTCCCTCTCCATGTCCCTCTCCATGTCCCTCTCCATGTCCCTCTCCATGTCCCTCTCCGTGTCCCTCTCCATGTCCCTCTCCGTGTCCCTCTCCGTGTCCCTCTCCATGTCCCTCTCCATGTCCCTCTCCGTGTCCCTCTCCGTGTCCCTCTCCATGTCCCTCTCCGTGTCCCTCTCCATGTCCCTCTCCGTGTCCCTCTCCGTGTCCCTCTCCATGTCCCTCTCCATGTCCCTCTCCATGTCCCTCTCCGTGTCCCTCTCCGTGTCCCTCTCCATGTCCCTCTCCATGTCCCTCTCCATGTCCCTCTCCATGTCCCTCTCCATGTCCCTCTCCGTGTCCCTCTCCGTGTCCCTCTCCATGTCCCTCTCCATGTCCCTCTCCATGTCCCTCTCCATGTCCCTCTCCATGTCCCTCTCCATGTCCCTCTCCATGTCCCTCTCCGTGTCCCTCTCCGTGTCCCTCTCCATGTCCCTCTCCGTGTCCCTCTCCATGTCCCTCTCCATGTCCCTCTCCATGTCCCTCTCCATGTCCCTCTCCGTGTCCCTCTCCGTGTCCCTCTCCATGTCCCTCTCCGTGTCCCTCTCCGTGTCCCTCTCCATGTCCCTCTCCATGTCCCTCTCCATGTCCCTCTCCATGTCCCTCTCCATGTCCCTCTCCATGTCCCTCTCCATGTCCCTCTCCATGTCCCTCTCCGTGTCCCTCT